ACTCAAAATGCAACACCTTCATTCTTCCTCTAATTGGAATGTGATGGTCTGATAAGCATAATCATAACATGTTTTTCTTTATCAGTATTTTCAATATGTAAAAATGTGCCTTCTTTTACAGTTAAAGAAGAGCTGATCTTCCTTTTCAGATACAGCAGCATCATATTTTGCTGATAATCTCCCTTGTTAATGAAAATCAGAGGCAGATTGGGCTATTTTGTGCATAATTAATTTTCTTGGTGAGATTTATGAAAATAATTTTTCTCAGTTGTGCTAATCATGCATATATGAGACAAACAAATAAATTAAACTATTCATGGTCCCTGGGTAAAAGGTTTTATCAAGGGCAGAGCTAAATCAGATTTGTGGGACAGCATAGCACATCCTCATCTGCGGTCCATGCAGACATACAGAAGGGAAATGAGCCTCCTTTTTAAAGGCAAAATATTAACTACCGTTAGTTTTCAGTACTTATGTCATTAAGAAGATAGAACTAATGGCTGTGTCATTCCTTGATTCTGGATTTCATTTACTGGCAATTTAACCCATGTAAAAACTACTATAGTAATGCAGTTATTTAAAGGTTCTAAATTAATGTAGCCTGGTCTTTTTTCCTTCTAATCTTCACACAGTGGGTGGCTAGGTTAATAGCTGAGTTTTTTCTTTTTTACTGAAAGGTATTCAGCATGTATAATTGGGTGATAGATTTAACCATTACTATCCTTAGGATGCAGTTTGGTGGGATGGGCATTACTCCGTTTGGAAGCTGATTTCAAATATGAGCATATGGGATTCCATTTTTAGCACAAGTGTAATTGGGAATCTTCAGTAGTGACTAATGCACCAGAATGGCTTGCATTTGTGGAGACAAGCCTGGACTTTTTCACTTAATTCATAAGCAATTAAAAGTTTCCATAAAATTATCGAGTGGACCTTTATATGTCTTCAGATATGCTCTTAGAGCTTTCTGTAAATACTTTTCATAAAAATGACAAATTGATTACATTTTACCGTAAGTGCAGGAATATTTAGACCTGAACAAAATTAAATTATTAAATTCTATTCAGTGTTCAAAATTATCCTTTACTAGCTACCTGGGTGAAATCTTGGTCAGTTGAAGATAACGGGAGTGTTGTGGTTGACTTAATTGGGCCCAGGATTTTAGCCTCTGGTGTATAATTGTTTCATCTCTTATAATGTCATTTATTTGATTAATGGTGGTGTAGTCCCCTTTACTGTAACTGCATATTTGGATTTATGCAATACTGTCTCCAGATCTCAGCCCTTTACATATGTAACCCTTTTGCCAGGCCGAGTTAATAGCAGCAAGGGCTGGGTTCAGTATCTAGGGGTCTCCTCCCAACAAGGTAATACAACACCGGCTCAAGCCCCGCACTCAGTGACCTGGGAAATCTTACATACACCCCTGGGTGCCTCAGAGGCAATTCTTCCTCTCTTGCAAGCACAGAGCCTCGGTATAGCAGCAAATCATTAATAACATGAGGTAACCGACCTCAGCATTAAATTGGGAAAACACCACAACTCGGATTCATAAACCAAACATGAGCAAAGACCCACCCCCCAGCCACGAATCACCCAAAGTTCCCAAAAGTCCAACACCCCAAGAGTCTCTGCCCCGGGTTGGTGCCGATCCAGGGTTCAGAAGTTCACCCGTCAGGGTGTTACCATCCCAACCTGGAGTGGGGTGGGGGTCGCTACACCTTACGTGGTCTGCTGATGGCTCCGCCTCTCCATAGGGTTCTGCTGCCACCATCAACGCGAGTCACTCCGCCACACTCCACCTGCTGTCCCATGAGCCACCTCAGCTGTCCCACGAATTGCCCTGCTCCGCCAGCCGTCTCGGTCCATGCCCCTGGCCGCCAGCTGGTTGCTCCTGCAGCTGCTCCACTGGCTGTCTGCTGCTGCTCCTACCAGCCACCTGCAGGTCGTCCCCCACCAGCCGCTCTGCTGGTCCACCTGCGCTTGCTGGTTGTCCCCGCAAGCTGCTCTGCTAGTAGCTCAGCAGTATATGTCAGGCTCCCCACAGCAACAGTGATTTTGGTGGTTTTGGCATAGATCTTCTTGTGAAGTACCATATTCTTGTAAGAGCAGCACCATGAGCCAAGGTACAGGCTGAACTGAACCTCTCTCGTCCAGGACTCTCTGGTCTGACAACGTCCATGGTCCAGCAGGACCACAGGTGTTGCTTGACCTGAGAACCCAGGCTGCAGAGGTTGAGAGCAGCTTGGAGCGAAGCAGGTCTAGCTGGTGGCAGCCTGCAGGGCCAGTGACCTACGGGCAGGGCCCCCCTTTCCCATGCGCAGGGCCACAGCCAGGGAACCCCAGGAGCAGCTGCTGCCCTGCACTGGGGCCAGGGAGCAGAGCCAGGCAGGTGGGCCATAGGAGGTCCAGGTTTTCCTGGGGCAGCAGCCAGGAGGGGAGCCCCAGATGAGCCCAGATACCTGACCTCCTCTGGTCTGGCAAATTCCCTTGTTTGGGACCATTTCAGTCTGAGAGTGCTGGACTAGGGAAGTTCAACCTGTCTTTACAAAATTTATACAAAAGTTGGGAAAAAAGACAGTCAGAATGTCAAAGTCTCTTCTCATTAGGTGATAGTTAACTTCTGAATTCAGAATATCAAACTGTCCCCTAAAATAAATGAGTAGTCCTGTAGCACCATCGAGATACTCAAAAAGGTGTTACAGGCCTACTCATTTTTTTCCAAGTTATAGACTAGCTCGGCAACCCTTCTGTCCCCTAAAATGTGTAACTGTTTTCTTGGTCAGGAAGACAATGCTGGAAGGCAGTTGTATGCAGGACTTAAGCAAACCAGTTGTTTTGTTTATTAGGCAATCAATGTGCTCTGTAGCTTGTGCACAAAAAAAAGGCTTATAAAAAGAAATTTCTGTAACAGTAGAATTCTGTGGGCTTCTTGTTTAAAAACCACCAAAGAAAGCCGCTATATGAGTTAAGCATACCTGTGAATATTATTGATTGACACCTGCAGTACTTCAATACAACTACTTACTTTCGATAATTAAAATGGACATTGCCAGGTGACTAAGGACTGAGCTTCTTATTGTAACAGAGCTAAAGATTTTATTACTGCTTTTTCTGTATCTCTGCTCAAGTCTGTAGAAGCATGAGCTTGTTTTGGCAAACAGCCAATTGCTTCCATAGAAAAGAAAATTGCCTCAATTTACAGGGCAATTCTTCTCTCTCCTTACATACGCTTTCAGTTTTATTTTGATAGATGCAAAGTACATGTTTTGTATGTTTTCTTTCTGTATAAATGTTTTCATAATTTTGCATTGTATGTTTGGAAGGGGACAAGGAAAGTCGTCATGTTCAAAATGTTGGTGTAATCCCTATGTTTTAAATTTGATTTGCTTCAACCAGAGGTATAAATATTACTCCGATACTCGACTGGGCTTCCACTCATCCCTTCATTCTGCATAATCAACTTTCCTCATTATAGGTCTGCCTTCGTCAAAGGGTGACTTGTCCAGCTCTAACCCATTTTCTGAGAGAACAAAATAACCAGTGTCATGCAGTATTCCAGAAATGGAGCTTGTCCAAAATGTCACTTAACAGTGATCAAAGCATCAATATGAACTTCGTGACATGGGTTCATTCTGCTGCAAAACTTGCACTTACAAAAGCTAACAAGAGCTCACCCTCCCTTGAAAATGAAAATACCACGTGGGTTCCCAAATATGAATGATTTTTGTTACGTAGTTTTCACTTCCCACTGTCTTGTTTTTTGTTCAAATAGTTAAGAGAATTATTTTATGAACTACAGTCTTTAAAGAAGAACACATACAAAACCCCAAATATGCCTTTGTTTGTAACTTGTATCCCCAGGAGAGTGTTCATAAAAACAAGATTCCCTGTGTGATTGATAAATAAACAAACAAATACATAAATAAATAGAAACTCCGAGGCACTTTGCTATCAAATTAAAAAAAAATAATTACATTTATCTGTTTACTTTCCTAGCTCTATTGAGGTCCTTAGGTAATTTGCTCCTTGGATTATTTCAGGTGTGTTGAAAGCATTTTTGGTTATAAAGATTCTTTTGGTTTAAAAATTCAAAATAAAATAAAATAGCTTCCACAGATCTCAAGAAATTCTTAGAGACCTGTTTTCAAGCCTGTATTCTTCATATGTTACAAAGTAGTTTTAAATGTGATTTATAGAATATGGCGGTAGCTTTGCAAAACTTGGAAAAGATTGGAGTGGGTCTCATAGGTAATAACTGATTCCCAGTACTATTTTAAAATGCAAACCTTCACTCAGGGATCTTTGCCATGTGTTGTATACAAGGAATATGTAACGGACCTATTCTGAATCAAATAGAAGTAGATGGAAGCTATTCTGTACAATTTATAAGATACATTAACTACTACATTTGTTTGCTTAATATTCTCATTACAGTCAGTCTAGCAAGTTGTAATTGTTTTTTGGAATACAAAAGATTATTTTATATAATGCAATACAGAAGCTTAATTGAATTATGTAAGTTATAGTTAGAAAAGGCCTGTCAAGTTATGTAGTCATTGCTTTTTATGTGTCATTGTAAACATGCTCAGATTTATAGTCTCTTACTATACACAAAAGAGCATCTTTCTAAGGAAAATGTGTGATTTCTTTACCATTTTAGATCATGTATGTCTTCTTCCATGTTACTACTACCTGCTTTTTCTTTTCCTTCATTCTCAACCGTTGTACTGATTGATAAATCATTTGACATACTTTATGAAAATAAGTCTTGTTTTGTTACATATGTTCCCATATATGTGCACTTTGACCCATGATTTATTTTGTGTAGTTATATAAACTTTTGAATTAAAACATGAAAACACAGTTCTATTTATCTAAAATTGGGGCTTAATTTATAGACTAAGTTGGTTCACTTAATACCCCTGCACGATAGGAAAATTATTTCTCAACTTTTAAAACTCTTCTCAACTCTTGAAAATCTTTTTTTTTTAATCTAGGTAACATCTTGGTATAGAAAGAACATCAAAGATTATCTACATAAGCAAACTCTAGGCTCATCATTAACAGAAAATGAAGAATTACTTCATGAGCACAAGGAAATGGAATTCAAGGCTAAAGTAAGAAATATGAAAATACTAAAGGAAAAAACTAACAATTATATATGTGTGTGTCTGTGTAAATGTGTATGCATACACACAAACCTATATGTAGTATATATGTGAAGTCTATATGTTTGTGATATAAGAGGGAAAAAATGAATATAACTAGTATTATATACACAATGTTCTTGGTACTGTTTTTCTCATTCTAGCCCAGTGGTAGGTTTTAAAAAAGAAGAGTGCATATTTTCATTCTGTACAGCGGTGGAGCCTGATCCATGGCTGGGGCTTTGGGAAACTATCACAGTAAAGTATTTTTTTATTTATTGCTTATCTAAATACAGTAAAACTCCATTGGCCTGGCATCCAATGCTCCGGCACTCCTGATGGTCCAGCACCATTAGGAACCCGGAAGTGCTCTGGCTGCTGGACAATTGGAGCTGCTCTGCGCCCAGCTTTCCCAATTCAGCCACTGCTGAAACTGACCAGCAGCTGACGCAGGG